AGAGTAAGAAAATATGTTTCACAATACTCAGCGAGGGCAGATCTGCTGTGTAAGAGAATACCATTTTTACAGTCACTTTTACCATGTCCACAGCTGCACTACAATGTATATTGTTTCTGGGTATATTGACATAACAGAATGTACATGGTACAAAAAACCATGATCAGTAATCCTTACAGTAATTGAAATAATAGACTCAATTCACACTTCAGTTTGGTTGGCAAAGACACCTGCAACATTGTAGTGCATAATGCAGATGAGCTATACACAAATGTAACACTAATAGTAAAGCTATTGTTTTTACAGGTGTAAAATCAATTTTACGCTATGGATCAGACTATGGGAAGAAGCTATATGTAGTGATAACATAAAGAGCCACAATTTTCTCAGTTCAAAAGATTTCTGTGACTAGAGGGTCTCTGAGGGCATTATACACTTTCAGTGTGAATTGTTTTTTTAAAGAGCTTGAATATACAAGGAATACAGGGAATTTTGAATATACAAGAAATACAGAGCTGGGCTTATAGTGATCTGATCTTATGTGATCAGATCACTACAAGCCCAGCTCTGTATTCCTTGTATATTCAAAATTCCCTTTGAAATCACTGGGAGCATTGGATGCTCAGGAATGCAGGATGAGACCCAATCTTTAACTATCTGGGGGAGGGGGAGGATAGGAATGAAAAAGTACCCCGTTGTTCTAAGAAAGGCTGGTTGTTCCATAAGGCAGATAAAATGCTGTTGTTATAATAATATTATGGTACATTTAAAAAAAAAAAGTAGGGCTGTGGCAAGGATTAAGTTTCATTCCTGGACTTTTAACTGAAGGAAATAGTTTTATAAACTATGTTCAGAGAGAAATGGTCTTAATTTAAAAAGCACCATTTGCATTCAGTCTTTTAATACAAACTAGTTTGGTAATAAGAAAAGAGGGATGGTTTGGGCATTTGCATTATATGTAATAAGGACTTTCATTTGTTATTATATCAGTAAATCACAAAGATTAAAATGAGTTTGAAGATTTGCAATGCAAATTACCTTATGCTTACATAACTATTGTATTGAAGCATACAGGGAAATATTGTCTTCACTGTTATTCAGCTCACCATGTTTTTTTCTACTGCTTGTAGCTCAGAGTTCCTTAGAGCACTATTGGATTGCCCACATCTCTTGCCAACTTCTAGTTTCAGCCGGCATGAAGAGATGCATTCAGAAATTCTTGCCAACTGTATTGCTAATTGTGCTGTAAGAATCATTCAAAAGGCAGCAATCTCTTCAGAAAAAATGAGTAAAGTCCTATGAAAAATTAACACATTGGACTTGCTCCTACAGAATTCAGTAGGATTCTCCTCATTCACGGACTTGAGTGGGATCAGGATCTGGACACACTGGGCCCAAACCTCAGATGGTATTATTTATTATAGCTCATTTACTTCATGTCACGAATCAGTGTCAATTAAGATCAATGGAGGATCTAGTCCATTGTATACTAAGATGCTAGTGTTTCGATGAATCATAGAAATCTGGGGCTGGAAGGGACCTCAAGAAGACATCTATTCCTTCCCACCATGCTGAGGTAGGAAAAAGTATACCTAGACCATCCCTGACCAGTGTTTGTCTAACCTGTTCTTAAAACCTCCCTTAAAACAGGGATTCCACAACCTCCCTAGATAACCTGTGTCAGGGCTTAAATATTATTTTTCCTAATATCTAACCTAAATCTTCCTCGCTGCAAACTAAGCTGATAACTTCTTGTCCTACCCTTGGTGGACATGGAGAACAGTTGATCACCATCATCTTTATAATAAACTTTTACAGGTTTGAAGACTGTTATCATGTTGCCCCTCAGTTTATTCTCCTCTAAACTAAACAGGCCCAGTTCTTTCAACCTTTCCTCATAGGTCATGTTTTATAAACCTCTTATCATTTTTGTTGCTCTCCTCTGGACTCTCTCCAATTTGTCCACATCATTCTTAAAGTGTGGGGCCCAAAACTGGACACAGTACAGCTAAGGCCTCATCAGTGCCAAATAGAGGGGTGCAAAGTACCGCCGATGTCTTATATACAACAATCCTGTTAATGCATCTCAGAATGACATTTGACTTGTTTGGAACTGCATCACACTGTTGACTAATATTCAATTTATGATCCATTATTGCCCCCAAATCCTTTTCTGCAGTATTGCTGCCTAGCCAATTATTCCCCATTTTGTAGCTGTGCGTTTGATTTTGCCTTCCTAAGTGCAGTGCTTTGCACATGTCTTTATTGAAATTCATCTTGTTGATTTCAGACCAATTCTCCAATTTATCAAGGTCATGATGCATTCTAATCCTGTTCTCCAAAGGACATGAGAGTTTGCTGCAATGCACTAATAACTTGTACAGATCTATCAATCATAGCCCCAAGGACCCAGCTGGTACCTCTCCTCACCAGTCAAATGCTCCAGCCAGTAGGGGCAGAAGCAGCCAAAGCAGAACGTCTTCTGGGTATTCAGAGAACTTTCTATAGTTTTGATTGGCTTGCCTCTGCCCTGTGCTGTTTGGCTGTTTGTTCTAACCCTTCTGCATTGCAGCTCTCTCCCCCTCCCTTTTCCTTACAGTTTCTTCACCTCAGCTTCACTACACACCTGCCCGTCTTGCCCCTTTTCCCCTGCTATGTCTCCTCACTCCCTCATACCCTCCCTTTTCTTTGTATTAATGTATCCCCTCTTAAGTGTACCCACCCAAATAATAATAATGGAACTAACATGCTGTTTGCTGCCATCACATTGTTCACTCTGCTTGTGTGTTCTACCCCTCTCCCCATCCTACTCATGTCTTCTCTGTTTAGACTGTAAGCTCTTCAGGGCAAGGACCATTTACTACTCTGCATTTCTACAGCACATAACACAATGGGTGCACACACTTGGTCAGCCCTTAGGCACTACCATAATAAACATTTTACATATTTTCAATAATAGCTACCTATTTTCAGGATTCTGAGCTTTTCAAGAATGCATGGAAAGATACAGAAAGGGTTGCTATACTAATTACAGCTGCCAGGGCTAGAAGCAGGTTTTGTAGTAGGTCCTTTACCACTACCATCACCTCCTACTTTTCACAAAAAAGCATTTTTCTCCACAAATTTAGCAGGATAACAATGAAGGATGAGACTGAAAATTTAAGGAAAAATTTAAGGATGATTGCACCATCTAAGGCTTTGTCTACACTGCAACTGAAACCCTGTGGCTGGCTCGTGCCAGCTGGCTCGTGCCAGCTAACTCGCTCTTGTCAGGCTTGGGCTAAGGGGCTGTTTAATTGTGATGTAGACATATGGGCTCAGGCTGAAGCCCAGGCTCTCGGACCCTGCAAGGTGATCTCAAATACAGAGGTGACTAACAATAATTGTTTTATTTATACAAGCAAATTCATTTACAGAAGAAGAAGAAAAAATAGCAATATGTTGAAATCATGTATGAAATTAATAACATCTTTTCTCAATATTATGATCTGTATTTTCTGCTGTAGGATCTTTTGCTAATCGGCCTATTACAGTTTGGCTTTCTTGGTTCTTAGCATAATAGGTTAATATTATTTATGAGTAGCAAAATATTTAAGGAGGATCCCCATTCTAGAGAGGTTTGTACAAAAGTGAATTAGTTAAACATTTTGAAGCTGGGATATTGTTTGTTCTGTTATCAGATGTCATCTTTGCTGATGTGTGTGGTGCATAGAAGACAGACTTCAATACAAACCTCAAGATCTAATTAGTGCTTCAGTTCACCAACAAGGCTCTGAACAGCATTTCCTATCTAATGAACACTTTCCCTTTTCTATATAATATAATTACAGACCAGGCTGTTTCCCATTAATCAAATAAATGAAAACAGCCTGTTTTTTCTTTTCTGTTATATTATTGGGAACATGCTTCCCATTAAAGTCAGTGTTTGTTATCTCAGCAAAGGATGGTGTGACTTAAATGTATTTAAGAAGGGTTAATAATATTTTACTTTTCTTTATTGCTTCCCATTTAAGAGAGTACTAACACATTTTACGAACAGTAATGAACATTCAGAACAGTTTATGAGGCAGGGAAAAAGAGGAAGAGAAAGATTGAATGACATGCTCAAGAGTGGGTCAGTAGCATAGGCAGGTATATGACCAAGATTTTCTAACTCCTGGTCCTGTGCTTTAACCACTAGTTACAATTACAATTAGTAATCTGAGAGAAGTGGGATGTTCTTACCTCAGAAATCAATAGTGAGTCACAGTAAATGATACTAGCATGACCGGTATAGTTTGATTGGGCAGACTGCTATTTGCATCACTGCCAGAGCTCTGTATCCCAGTGATTATAATGCGGTCACTTAATCATATTCTGTGGAACAAAAACTAACAAGTTTGTTAAACTGAGGTTAATTTGATTAATCAGTGTTAAGAAGCTCTATCCATTTGGTTGTTGCAATAGGAATTATTAGCTATTTGGAGCTGCTCAGGTGTACCTTGACATAAATTCAAGTTTCTGTTGTTTAAAAAAAAAAAAGGCCTCAGTCACTTTAGCCTCTGTAATAACTGTGCAATAAGGATCTGTACAAATGATGATTTATATATTGATAGAGGCTTATGAGAGGAATTGAATGCTTTGCAAAATTCAACCTCTATGTCATCTGTGAGCCTAGTCCTGCCCCCGCCGAAGTCAATACAAGTTTTGACATTCTACTAAGAATCCCTGACATGATTTGCTACTGTGTGCATGAACTTAAAAACATGATATCCAGTTTTCCAGGTAGAATAAGTAACAATAAGCACAAGATGTCAATTTATTTATGAGACATTATTTGCCCATTGTAGGCACTACTGGAATTTAAATAGATAGTAAATCAAATATGCATAATTAATATTCAGTATTAACTTTAAAACTGTGATGTGAAAAGTAAACCACAGTAAGTTAGCAGGTATTCATTGGCTTGCATTTTTTAACATTTTTCCTACCTAACTGCATTTATTTTCTTCCCTCTCCAGATGCAGCAATTGTTCCATGAAAATTATGAACACAATCGGAAGGGTTACATCCAAGATCTTCACAACAGTAAAATACACACAGCTATAACACTTCATCCTAATAAAAGGCCAGCCTACCAATATAGACTCCACAATTACATACTGAGCCGCAAAATTTCAGAACTACGCTATCGCACGATCCAGCTCCATAGAGAAAGTGCCCTAATGAGTAAGCTCAGTAACAGTGAAATAAATAAGGAAGATCAGCAGCTGGGAATGATGCCCTCTTTCAATCGCTTCCAGCCCCGTGAAAGGAATGAAGTCATTGAATGGGAATTCCTGACAGGTAAGCTCCTTTATGCTGTGGCTGAGAATCAACCACCCAGACAAAGCATTAATAGCATTCTGCGGGCAGCATTGGATGACACAGTGATGCAAGTAATGGAAATGATAAATGAGAACTCTAAATCTAGAGGAAGGCTTATTGATTTCAAGGAAATACAATATGGCTACCGTAGGGTTGATCCTATGCATGGAGTGGAGTACATCCTGGATTTACTGCTTTTGTACAAAAGACACAAAGGAAGAAAACTTACGGTTCCAGTGAGACGTCATGCTTACCTTCAGCAATTGTTTAGCAAGCCTTTTTTCAAAGAGGCAGAGGAACTGGATGTAAGAGGCTTTGTGGAGAATATTAACAGTGATATTCAGTCTTTCTCTTTTCTTTCAAATTCTTTAAAGATTTTTTCATCATTCCAAGACACCAAAGAAATAGAAGGACATAGTGACAAGAAAATACATATTCTTGTCCCTCTCACAGGAAGATATGACATTTTCTTAAGATTTATGGAGAATTTTGAAAAGACTTGTGTTATTCCCAGGCAGAATGTAAAGCTGGCAGTAATTCTGTTCAGTTCTGATTCTGGCCAAGATTCCAGCAAACACAGAGAGTTAATTAAAGAATATCATAATAAGTATCCGAAGGCAGATATGACCCTAATTCCTATGACAGGAGAGTTTTCCAGAGGTTTAGGTCTTGAAATGGCCTCATCTCAATTTGACAATGACACTTTGCTGCTATTCTGTGATGTTGACCTGATATTCACACCAGACTTTCTCCAACGATGCAGAGATAATACTATTCAAGGACAGCAGGTTTATTATCCCATTATCTTTAGTCAATATGATCCAAAAGTAATATATGGAGGCAGCCCTCCAGGCGACAGTAACTTTGTTTTCACAAAGAAAACTGGATTTTGGCGAGACTATGGATTTGGAATCACTTGTATTTACAAAAGTGATCTACTGCGTGCTGGTGGATTTGATACCTCAATTCAAGGCTGGGGACTTGAGGATGTAGATCTCTTTACTAAAGTAATAGCTTCTGGGCTGACAGCTTTTAGAAGTCAAGAAGTTGGAGTTGTACACGTTTTTCATCCAGTTCAGTGTGACCCAAATTTAGACCCTAAACAATACAAAATGTGCTTGGGGTCCAAAGCAAGTACATTTGCTTCTACCATGCAGCTGGCTGAACTCTGGCTAGAAAAACATTTAGGTGTCAGGTACAATCGAACTCTCTCCTGACATTCCAGCTCATTCTGCCTTTTGGGGGGGAGTTTATATTGTTGTTGTTGTTTTTATTTTACTGTCATATTCTTAAACTCCTCTTTGTCTTCCAAAGGGTGTATGTTGACCTCAAAAAAGATGAGACGGCTGTACACTATTTCCAATTCCTACTGAACTGATTAGATGTATTACTTTCCTATGCCCTCTATTCAAAATTGACCGAACTCAAGGATATCAAATGATCTCACGGAGCACATCCATCATGAGACACTGCATCAAACGAATGTTCTCTTTGGGCTTTAGGATGCAATATCAGTTTTTGTTGTATTTGTCAAACTTAATGTGATACATATATTTACTGGTGAAGGTACCACAAAAGTGCTTTATGCTTCCTCTGGGGAAGGAACTCTGTAACATAAACTTGAGTTTTATAATTTATACAAGGACTTATATATATATAAACACTACTTTTCTTCATCTTAAGAATTTTTAAAGTAAATTAATAACTATGATTGTACCTTTATTTTTAAAAAAAAGAAAAACTGAGGAGTGTCTTTCCAAGTGCAACTGGTACTGGCTACCGAGGTCCTTAAAAGTCTTATTGTAATAATGCGCTCCTCATTATTGTCTGCTCTGTGCGAATGAACTTTATTTTCTCAAGGGAATGTGATTTAATCAAATACTCATGTACATTTTAGAAGCTTTGTGAAAAAATGTCCTTCATTTGCTGGCAAGAAGAAACTATGACAGAACATGATTATTTATAATAAAGTGTAGACATACAGTATTCTTTTTCAAAACATAGAATAAGTTGCTGTGTCTCTTTTTAAAATGAGTCTCTAATATATACATGATTTTCTTTTACGTTCCTTTAATAAAGCTGCACTTGATACAAAGGGTGACAAAAGGTTAATTAAAATTGCCTTTTTTTACATTTGTGCATTAATATTGGTATTCAGAAACCAACCATTGTAAAATTTCAAAAATTGTAAAAAAAAAATTATTTAAGTATGAACATTTCTACTGCTGGTCAAAGTTCCTTGCCAGTATATTTATACTAGTGGAAGTTATAGGACTGTGTTAAGATTTATCTTTCTGGACAGCCTGAAATTGTCATATTATGGATCTGTGGAATACTTAAAATGAAACCAACATAAGAAACAATAAATATAAAGTCAATTTTTATACTTAAGTTTTTTGTATAGGGAAAATATGTAATCATTTTAAACATACATGTTTTCTCTTCAGGTGGTGTTTTCTTGCACAGGTTTTCTTTTTTCCTTTTTGTTTTTGACACACATTTAGAATATTTTGCTCAGAGTCTTTGGTAACAACTCACAAAGTATACGAAACCATCAGATTTTAGCCAATCTTGAGTTAATATGTTGGATGGATGTAATAACTAATGCAGTTGACTTCAGACTATATTGCAAGAAGAGCTGGGCAAATGATGCAAATAAAAATTCCTCAAGTATTTGTTCATATGTTTCTGCAAACTTGTTTTGACTATGTTCATCCCCTTTTGCATTCCCTTTCCAAGTGACTAATATTTATTGTACAGACATACAGGGAAATTTCCTAGAGGCCTGAAGACCTGTTGGCCACCCAAGACTCCTACAACAGTGGCAGATTAAGTACAGATCCCACAGATCCCTCCTGGATGGCAGAAGACTCAATAGAATTCAAATCTAGAAGTTAATCCTTGCAAGGAAAAGGCATCACCAGTGGAGAAGAGTGGGGACAGAGGATTTGGGCCCAGGATTGGCCACAGTTGCCCTCTGATGTCTCTTGTGTTTCAATGTAATGTACTGTCATGGTAGGAGGCATGATCTTTGAGACACCCCAGAATTCATAGTACAGTAGTATGTTTAATTCAAAGTTCAAACACAAGAAGTAGCAATAGGCAAAGGGCAACACATACAGCAGCCCAGGCACTGAGACAGGTGAGCTCATTTTAAAAAAATCACAACATGAAGTGATGGCAGTGGTACTTCCAACCCCCTTTATTTCAAGTGAGAAAAGACTATTACCATCACCCTTCTTCTTTGTGAAGGTGGGTAGATAGAGCATGAGTTACAATTACCCAGACCACCTTGGGGGACTCCTCTTCTCTCCTTTTCCTGCAGGCCAGTCCAATGCTGCTGACACAAATGTTTGGGGAAAGTAAATTTCATAGTTACATGTGAAAATATTTATGGAACCCAAAATTTAAATTTGCATGCGTATTTATGCCTAGAGTGCTTGCACTCTTGCTCAATGAGGGAACCAAGAACAGGCAACATGATTAATCTAACCAAACACAACTAACCAAGACAGCTCAAATAGCAGATATCAGAAAATGAATACTCACTGGTAAAAAAACAAATATCCCCAGGGCTTCCCAAAGTTAACAAAACAAACAAGTAAACAAAAGAGGTTGTATGAGAAATATATGCAAGTTTAGTTGTAGCAGTTAGGGTGCTGAAATCAATATTTACTACTATTGAATAACAGAAAAAAGCTTCTTTTACTTTAAGTAAAACCAAAAGTTAAATAACAATCTATTCATATTCTTTTATTCCTTCCTAATTTTCTGCTTTTTTTCATTTTACTCCATCTGCATTTATTCACTTGACTAATGATCTAGGTTCCCATGCTTCACCCTCACTTTCCCACTTCACTTTTTCTTTGGTTCTTCCCCTTTCAGTAGATGTTGCCACAGCTTTTGAAAGTTTTTGAAACCATATTTCCAGTATGGTTTTATGATGTCACTGCTATATAAAAATACTGAGCTAGAGCACTTTGCTGAATGAGTTTCCAGCTCTCTTACAAACAGTTTCCATTTGCTTGTCACTTTAGCTTAAAAGTATCCTCCATGTTATTACTTCATCCCTTCCTCTCTTCTCCTACAGCTTGGAATCCAACCAAGATGAGAAGTCCTTAAACCTAGGAAAATGAATAATGTTTGAGGATTTCCTCGGTTCCCATTTTGGCAGGAAAATGGCATAGCTGGCATTCCAGAACTGGATTTATCATCTCTAAGTCTAAATCTAGAAGTCTATATACTAAGCTGTGTAACTAGATGATAAATGAGGATATTGATAATATAGGCATCATGGAAAGTTGGTGGACTGAAGATAATCAATGGGATGCAGTAATACCAGGTACAAAACAGATAGGAATGACCAAGTAGATTGTGCTGGTTGGGGAGTGTCACTATATGTGAAAGAAAGTACAGAGTCAAATAAAGTAAAAATCTTAAATGAATCAAACTGTACCATAGAACCTCTATTGATAGAAATTTCATACTTGAACAATAAAAATATAATAGTAAAAATGTTATAACCTGACCAGGATGGTGACAGTTACTCTGAAATGCTCAGGGAGATTAGAGAGGCTAGAAAGGCAGACAACATCGTAATAATTGGAGATTTCATGTATCCTCATATTGACTGGGTATATGTCACCTCAGCAAGGGTTGCAGAGATAAAATTTATAGCTACATTAAATGACTGCTTCTTGGAGCATCTTGTCCTGGAACACACAAAGGGAGAGGCAATTCTTGATTTAGTCCTAAGTGCAGCTCAGGACCTCATCCAAGAGGAATAGCTCTAAGTGGAGCACAGAACATGGTCCAAGCTGAACCACTCAGTAATAGCAATCGTAATGTAATTGAATTTACCATCCTCTTAGGGGGAAAATGCAAAAGAAAGCCACCACAGTGGCATTTAACTTTGAAAGAAAAATAAGGAAGCTAGTTAAACCAAAATTAAAAGGAACAGTCACAAGGGTGAAATGCCTGCAAACTGCATAGAGACTATTTACTAACACCTTAACAGAGGCTCAAAGTAAATGTATTCCCCCTAATAAAACAAAAGCAAAGATGATCACTAAATACTCCACTATGGCTAAATAGGAGAGTAAATGGGATGGTTAGAGGCAAAAAGTCATCCTTTAAAAATTGGAAGTCAAATCCTAGTGATAAAAATAGAAAGGAGCATCAACTCTGTCAGGTCAAGTGTAGAAGTATAAGGCAGGTCCAAAAATAGTTTGAAGAGCAACTAGCTAAGGACACAAAAACTAATAGCAAAAAAATGTTTAAGTACATCAGAAGCAGGAAGCCTGCCAAACAATCAGTGAGACCAACTTCTGTACCAGGCAGATTGGTGGAAACTATAGTATAAAACAAAATTATCAGACACAAAGATGAACAATATTTTGGAGAAGAGTCAACACAGCCTTTGTAAAGGGAAATCATGCTTCACCAATCTACTAGAATTCTTTGATGGTGTCAAAATATGTAGACAAGGGTGATCCAGTTGATACACTGCACTTGGCCTTCCAGAAAGCCCTTGACAAGCTCTCTCACTAAAGCACGTAAGCAAAGTAAGCAGTCATGGGATAAGAGGGAAGGTCTATTCATGGATCAGTAATTGGTTAAAGATAGAAACAAAGAGTAGAAATAAATGATCAGTTTTCACAATGGAGAGCGGTAAATATTGGGGTCCCCCACAAATCTGTACTGGGACTAGTGCTATTTGACATATTCAAAACTGATCTGGAAAAAGGCATGAACAGTGAGATGGCAAAATTTTCACAATACAAAATTACTCAAGATAATTAAGTCCAAAGCTGACAGCAAAGATTTACAAAGGGATTTTACTAGACTGGGTGACAAAATGGCAGATGAAATTCAGTGTCGATGAATGCAAAGTAATGCATATTGGAAAACATAATTCTAACTATACAAACAAAATTATGGCGTCTAAGTTAGCTGTTACCACTCAAGAAAAAGATCTTCTTGTCATCATGGATAGTTCTCTGAAAACATCCTCTTGATATGCAGTGGCAGTCAAAAAAGCTAACAGAATGTTAGGAATCATTAGGAAAGGGATAGATTATAAAACAGAAAATATCACAATGCCACTATATAAATCCATGGTATGCCCACACCTTAAAATACTGTGTAGTTCTGGTCTCCCAATCTCAGAAAAAATCTACAGAAGAACTTCTGAAGTATGTACACCAGAGTTACAAACCGACCAGTCAACCACACCCCTCATTTGGAACCTGAAGTATACAATCAGACAGCAGGAGAAATAAAAAAAAAAGGGAAAATACAGTACAGTAATGTGTTAAACATAAACTACAAAAAAATAAAAGGAAAGTTTTTAAAAAACATTTTTGACAAGGTAAAGGAACTTTCTGTGCTTGTTTCATTTAAATTCAAAGGATTAAAAGCAGTATTTTTCTTCTGCATAGTAGGGATTCAAAGCTGTATTAAGTCAGTGATCAGTTGCAAACTTTTGAAAGAACAACCATAACATTTTTTCAGAGTTATGAGTATTTCAGAGTTATGGACTCCTGAGGTGTTCGTAACTCTGAGGTTCTACTATATTAGAATTCAAAAAAGTACAGAGAAGGGAAACAAAAGTGATTCGGGGTATGGAACAGCTTCCATATGAGGAGAGATTAAAAAGAGTGGGACTTTTCATCTTAGAAAAGAGACTACTAACAGGGATATAATAGAAGGCTATAAAACCATGAATGGTATGGAGAAGGTAGATAGGGAAGTGTTATTTCCCTTTAACATAACACAAAAACTAGGGATCACCTGACAAAACTAATAGCCAGCCATTTTAAAACAAATAAAAGAAAGTATTTCTCCACAAAACATGATGTCAACCCGTGGAACTCTTTGCCAAGGGATGTTGTGAAGGCCAAAAGTATAACTGTGTTAAAAAAAAGAATTAGATCTATTCATGGAGGATAGGTCCATCAATGCGTATTAGCCAACGTGGTCAGGGATGTAGTTCCAGGCTCCTGATGTTCCTAAACTTCTGATTGCCAGTGTTCCCTGTTTTAGTCATTCTCCCTGAAACATCTGGCACTGGCCACTGTCAGAGACAGGATACTGGGCAAGATAGACCATTGGTCTGAGTCAGTATGGCTCTTCTTATGTTGTTATCTCTGTGGTATGTTAATAAAATGATCATTGATCATTAAAAATGTCACAGAGCACATACATGGCCAAGATTATACAAATTATATGTGTGTATGGCGGTACAATCATTTGTGTAGGTACTTAATTACCTAATTTTGCACACTCACTCTCTCTCTCTCTCTATATATATATACAGTATATATAGGTAACAACATAAAGTGTTTGGCCAGCTTTAATAAAAAGCTTAAATAAACAGGTGGTGTCTGTACTGCATTGGGAAGCTTGCCAGGTTTTGGTTCTTTTGCAATGCCAATGGAAGTAGGTTCCAGAGATGAGGGCCCTCCATTGCAAACACCCTTCCTTCATCTCCAGAAACCAGCAGTGAGAACAACCTGGTGGGAGAATCACTGGACTACTTAGGATCTGGCCCAACTTATATTGCTGGCCATACTCCATGGTTTTTCTTTAGTGTGAAATACTTTGTTAGGGTGGGATCACCAGTTCTTCATGAGCTCGGGACTGATCTCACTCATGTTTTTTAGGAAATATAATTTGTATTTCACAAACCACAATGTACATTGTAAACTATTGCACTTGGGGATATCACTCTGCTAATGTCAATGGCTTTGTTTATTTTGCACAGGACCTTCACAGAGGGAAACACAAAAGGAGATTAGAACAAAACCTACAAAAAAGTGAACAAAATAATTGATATAAACAAAATATGGCTGGCGTATGGGATGGCACAAAGTTTTTATTGCCAGTTATTTGGGAAGACTGCTATGATTTATTCGTGACTCCACTGAGATCAAACTCATGGCAACAGAAATTTCATACGGTAACATCCCACACCATCACAAATGGTATATTTTTCACATGTTCATTCATATGCTGCCTATATACCTAGAAAAAAGGTGAACTAACTGGAATGTTTTGAAAGTGGACTTTGACAGATATCTCTAGGGAGAGGGCTCCCATAGGACTATGGCTCAGAATCAAGAAGACCTTGCTCAGTTCACATGGAACCTCAAAATGGAGAGCAAGAACAATGCTACCAACCTCAGCTGCCTTGGACAGATATAAAAGGCAAAACCTGAATAAATACATATTCTTCTATTTTATAAGATGGAGAAATCTAATGGCTTTGTAGTACTAATGTTAATGTTTCTGCCATTCAATATGGCCACCAGGACTATATTCAAAATAGAAAGTTACCACCATTATGATCAGTAAGAAAGGGATATGATATTATAGTAAAATGAGCAATTAAGATTGGCATCAGTCTTGTTAATTCAAGGGTGGGGGTTTTGTAGCTTTTTAATGATAGTGTAAAGTGAACTAATGATGTGCAGTAAGAGCATGGGAGGAAAGTAGCAGAAAGCTGGCTGAAATAAATTGGTTTTAGGAGGGATTTCCAGGAACAGCATGAGGTTGCCTACAGAAGAAGGAAGGCTATTACGTGCATATAGCATACAGAATCCCTTCCTCTGTGAGCCAATATTTAAAAAGTTAGGTATGCATACATATTTGCATGTGCTTAAGCTATGCATGCAAATACTTTGTATTTGTATGGGCCCATGTCAAGTCCCCTCTGGGTACTGTTGTGTGCAATTATGTGTCTAACTGAGAAAATCAGCCCCTTACTGATTAGCTCAGAATGTGGGGGAAGGAATGATGGAAAACTATTTTGACTGCAGTTCTTTGGATGTCATGAAGAAAGTGGAGGCTGGAGGGCAGGTGGTTGTGGTAATCAATGTGGTAGATAACTGGGAAATGGAGTAGTGTCAGCAAGGATGTAAAGAATGTAAGGGACCAGAAGAAGTGAAGCCGAGAAGATTAATTATGGAAATACTGCGGAGTAAGAAATAGAAGAAATGGGCAAGGGTCTGAATCCAAGGGAAGAAAAAGTAGGGCTGAGGAAGAGGAGCCCATGTTGTGAACCTGAGTGATGGGAAGGATGACCATGACAGCTGATGGTGATGACATTGTTCAGAAGAGAATTAAATGTGTAAGAGCCCAACTTTAAAGTATAACTTAGTTTCACTCTTTTTTCTCCAAACTTTTTACCCTGTCTTTCAGTGTTATTGCTTCCCATTCAAAGGTTCGATTATGGTATAAATCATGGAACTATTTGGAACAATATCAAAATTCTAGACCTAGCTCCTCTGCGTTACTGGTTTGGTCTACGCAGTGGTAATTCAATGAAGGAAAGTGAAAGTTTAATAGACAATTATGACTTTATGCATCCTGTTTTTTTTTTATGGGATATTTTATTTGTTGATATTGAACTAGGCATGACATCTTTGACCGTGGGTTCCATTGGTGCCCAGGATTTTATAATTTGTAGTGTTAGGTGGCTACTCGATGTGAGAAATTGTTTTAACAAAGAATCTTCTGAGAATGGCTGTGTATCTCTGCAGTAACTTCGCAAGCATAGCTATGTGGTTGAAATGAAGTTTACTTGCCAGTGTTTTCTTACTCAGTACATTGATTCAGTTACTTTGCTTGATGAGAAATCCAGAGTACATATGAGTTATTACTGTGCATATTTTCCATTATTAAAATTGAGCCTTTTTAACGTAATTGGTACCAAATGGAAGAGACGCAGCACAACAATGAGACGTACAACACCTATGCCTGTAGGTCAAGGGATTCATGAAAATATAGTTGTCTTTAATGAGATAAGTTTCAGAGTAGCAGCTGTGCTAGTCTGTATCCGCAAAAAGAAAAGGAGTACTTGTGGCATCTTAGAGACTAACCAATTTATTTGAGCATAAGCTTTCATGAGCTGAAGTGAGCTGTAGCTCACGAAAGCTTATGCTCAAATAAATTGGTTAGTCTCTAAGATGCCACAAGTACTCCTTTTCTTTTTGCGGATACAGGCTAACACTGCTGCTAGTCTGAAACCTGTCATTAATCTCTAAGTAGACTCAATGCCACTACATGGAACATGGAACACCCAGGAGGTGTGCGGATTACACTAAATAATCATTGGAGGGAAGTTAGGCAGCCCAAACTATCTCCCCCTCTACAAACATGATGGTCACTTTAAGAGACAGGTCACTACCCCTCTCACAGCAGGCCAGGAAGAGGAAGGTCTTAAGCACAAGAGCTTGCAGACCACTGTAGAAATGACTCCAGGTTCTGACAATTTTTCTGCCTCCTAATATTTCAGTTCAGTGTGTCACCATGGAGCAAGATCTGAGATTGTGTGAGGAAATGCTGTATTCAGACAGGAGGAGGGAAACAAAATGGCAGATGTGCAGCAAGCTCAGCAAGAAAACTACTGCATCTCCCAGGATTTAGATCAAGCATCTCTCTCTCCCCCCAACTCTATCCCACTTCCCAAAAAAATCTTGTGAGGCTGTGTGGTATCCCAACACTAGGAGAGCATATATGGAAGAAGAAAAGGAGGAAGGAAAAGCACTAAGGGAAGGGCAAGCTCTGAATATATATGAATTGAGGGCAGAGGTGTGGGGGGGAGGGCAGAGAGAGACCCACACCCAGAGTGAGTTGGACCATCAAGGGCAAAAGGGCAGCACTGAATCTGACTGAAAGACAGTTATTCGTGATAGGTTGGAGGTTGGGGTCAGTGAAGTGAGACATTTGAGAATGGAGTAGAACTAGACAGGATAGAATAAAGTAAAAGAGGAAAGAAAAACGCAGAAAAAAACAGCAGGAGGTGAAGAGGTAAAGGAGAAATTAAACTGAAAAACAGGCACTGGAAAGGGTGGAGAGAAAAAAATAACACAAAATGGAAGGAAGGAAATTGAGGTAAACTGACAGAAAACCAAAGAAACAGAGGGAGATTTAGTAAATGAATTTAAAGATCAGTTGAAGCCAAGAAGAGGGTCAGAGTGACTGCCTTAATTATTATTATTGAGCACAGAGAGAGTACAGTATTGTATTGCTGTACCCCCTCAGTATACAATGGGGAACATTAAGGATCAAATGCTAGGCTGAGGTTAGAATCTCCCTGTTTTTTTGTTGATTTGTGTCAGATCCTTAAATTTCTCCAACTATTTGTATACTGATAGACTCAGTGGAAAAGACTCAGTGGGGTTCTGTATATAGTATATTATCTGGACTATGTTAAAAAACCCTACATTTGAGAATAAGAGAGAGCTGTCTTTAAAACTAAAAGTGGACACCTCAGTAGGAGAGACATACCAGAGCTAAGGTTACATTGTGTCCTTTGAGCCACATATTTCCTTTTCGGTGAGACATTATCACATTCCTTAAATACAAACAGAAAGAAAGCTGGCACTTTTCAGTAAGCTTCTGCTTTGTCCCACTTTCCTTTGTTGTCCCACCTTCAAAAATAAAGCTATAGGTCCACTTAAGTACTGGGTGGGGTTGACAAATTTATTAAGGACAGTGAAATAAAATGTATCTTGTTATTGTATGCAGTGTTGTTGCAGCTGTGTTGGTCCCAGGATATTAGAGAGACAAGGTGGGTAAGGTAGTAGCTCCCTTGGTGAGACAGACAAACTTTCGAACTTACACTTTTATTGAAGAAGAGCTCTGTGTAAGCATAAGAGCTTGTCTCTTACCAACAGAAATTGGTCCAATAAAAGATATTACCTCACCCACCTTGTCTCTTTTATTATTATTGTTATTATTATTATCGGAAGAAATCAGATTTTGGTTCAACTCTTGCTGTCAGTGTGCCCATTTAATATAGTATTATATATTCCAGATACAATTATTTGTCAACATGCTAGTAGCTTATTTATAAAACCATGCTACTCTGAAACCTGTCATGATAAGATAGATGCTTTTCTGATGTCACCACCTTGTAAAATTGCTGAACTAGAGCACTCTGCTGAATGAGTTCCCAGCTCCATTGCAAACAGTTTCCATTTGCCTGTCACTTTGCTTTAAACTATGCTAAATGTTATTACTTCATCCCTTACTCTCCTGGCAGCTTGAGTTCCCAGCGAGAGAAAGGAAGACAATTTTTTCCAGACCTTAAAGTGTATCTACAAAATAAGGACCTGCACCTGCAATATATTGAGCACACTAGATTTCCAGTGACTTTAGCTGAAGTTAAGTACCACAGAGGATCAAGACCTTCAAAAACATAAAGATAAAAGGGTGAGATTATCAGAGGAGCCTAACAAAGGTAGGTGCCCAACTCCGATTGAATTTGAAAATGCTAACAATAAAATGTATAACAATCAAAATATACCATACTTTGTAAAGTCACATTTATTATAGTATTTTTTTATCTTAGTCACTAAAACTAGTCAGTGCAACTAGGAGTTGCATTACTTAGACATTTGACTGCTCAATCTTGCCAGAAAATAGTGTACCTAGTGTTTATGAAAATAGATTAAAATGCTCGTAAAAAGTTACTCAGAAAGAAAAGCACAGCAGAATCTCACTAAAACCACATTTGCTAATCCAAACTCTGCAGCAGATGCACACACACACTGGTGAGTTCTCCCATATCTCAACAAAGATTTAATAGTCATTTTAATTAACCTCACTATAAAAAATGCTGTTACTTTTCCAAAATATGCTGCTTAATATTCTGAAATATTGTAAATAATCAAAACTTGTAGTGTGCTACAGCTGCCTATAGACAACTAAAAAGTGTCAGAGAATGTATATTGCATTTTTATTGTGTTTGCACATGCTCTGATTCAGCAGAGTGCTTAATTTAAAAAACTGAAGTGAACAGGACTTACCTTAAATGCTTTGCTGAATAGGGTTGTGTTTAGGAAAATGCCATTAATGAGTTAGGCTATGTCTATGCTACGAAGTTAAGTTGACTTAAGTTGATGTTCGTCCACTGCTGTAATTAAACTGCTTTTGCATGTCCACACAACACTCGTTGTGATGGAGGAGAATGTCCACAGTTAGTGTTCTTGTATTCGACACAGAGAGCAGTGCACTGTGGGTATCTATCCCACTGTGCAACTCGCCACAATCTACCACTGGGTGTTCTGGAAAGGGATCGCAGTGCCTTATGGGGGGCAGGCTCAGCATCCCATGATGCAGTTTTCTTCATCTCATCATTCCGTGGCATTCCTACCAGGTTTCATGCCACTTTTCAACAGCCCCTGTAAACTGCGCACCCACCACCTCTGTCTGAAAACATAGATCATGCATTGCTCTCCAATATTGTGATGAGCATTATGAACTCAACGCAGCTGATCCTGCAGTATTTCATGAGCTGCTAATCTGATGATGACACCGTGCTTTTGGCATTCATGGAGCGGCTCCACATTGTGGACCGTCGGTTCTGGGTGTGAGAAACAAACACCAAGTGTTTGCCAGTATGGGATGATGAGTGGTGGTTGTTACAGAACTTTTGGTGCACAAAGCCATGTTCCTGAAAGTCTGTGAGGCACGCGCCCATGTTCTCTGGTGCAAGAACAACAAAACAAGAGCTGTGTTAATGGTGGAGAAATGAGTGGCAGTCATTGTGTGGATGCTGGCAACTCCTGACTGTAACCAATCAATCGCAAATCAGTTTGGAGTGGAGAAGTTCACTGTGGGGGTTATGGTGATGCAAGTGTGCAGGGCCATTAATCACCTTCTGATACAAAGGATTGTGACTCTTGGCCATGTGTGTTTAATAATGGATGACTTTGTGGCAACGGGATTCCTTAACTGAGGTAGGGCAATAGATGGCACACTATCCCCATTTTGGCCCCAGGCCACCTTGCAACAGAGTACATCAACAGAAAGTGCTACTTATCTATGGTATTGCAAGCTCTGGTGGATCACCGGGGTCATTTCACCAACATTACTGTGGGGTGGTCAGGGAAGGTGCATGATGCATGCATCTTCAGGAACACTGGCCTGTACAGAAAGTTGCAAGCAGGGACTTTCTTTCCAGACCAGAAGATTCCAATTGGGAATGTGGAAATGCTAATTATGATTCTTGGAGACCCAGCCTACCCCTTCTTCCTGTGGCTCATGAAGCCTTACACCGGAAACCTTGACTGCAGCAAGGAGCAGTTCAACAACAAGTTCAGCAGGTGCAGAATGCTTATTGAATGTGCCTTTGGCTGCTTAAAGCATAGCTGGTCCTGCCTTTTTGGCAGGTTAGACCTCAATGTGGAAATATTTCCATGGTCATAGCAGCCTGCTCTGCTCTGCATAACCGTTGTGAAGCTAAGGGGGAGACGTTTCCACAGGGGTGGATCGTTGAGGTGGATTGGCTGGTTGTTGCTTTTGAGCAGCCAGATACCAGGGCTGTTAAAGGGGCTCAATGAGGAGTTATTTGAATTAGGGAGGCTTTAAAGGAGCATTTTGAAAATGATCCACAATAATGTGGGTTTCTGTAATGCATTTAGCCATAGTATGAACCTTGTAATGATTGCTGTGTGTACAGTAATTTTACAGTGCAAATGAACTGATTACCACTGTGTATGAATTCCATCAGAAACCACACTATGTAGGAGACAAATAGAAATGCCTTCTCTTTCTATAAATAATTTTTTATTAAACGCCTATGCAAACATTTCTATGTTCTGCAAGGAACATGAAAATCAAGAGCCAGAAGCTGGGAATGAGCAACGGGATGGATCACTTGATGATTACCTGTTCTGCTCATTCCCTCTAGGGCACCTGGCATTGGCCACTGTCAGAAGACAGGATACTGGGGTAGATGGACCTTTGGTCTGACCCAGAATGACTGTTCTTATGTATGTTCTTATGGGTGTATGTCCAGCTGTCATTATGAAACATGTCTCTTGGGGTGAAGTGCATGGGGTACTGAGATAGCCTAGGAACATGCAAAGAGTCTGTGGGCAGGGGGAGTGTGGGGAGGGCATGGAAGGCAGTTCTGTATAGGCTGCAAGGGGAGGCGAGCGTGGATGTGTGCTGTCTGAAGTTTAATCAGGGACTTCAGTACATCTGTCTGGTCCTGAAGCAGCTGAATCATCCGCTCCTGCATCTGTTTCATATCCTTGCTATCCATTTGCAGTTTTTCATTGATAGCCCTCTCTCCATGCTCTCTGCTTGCAATCTGAAGCCTCAGAGGATTGAGGCACCTCCCGGAACATGTCTTCCTTACTCCTATTTTGTCTCCTTTTCAGATGGAGCTGCTCAGTAGGTGTGCAGGAGACGACCCTCCAGGGCACATTTGCAGTTGCTAAAGCAACAATAGACAGTGCAATTGTGAGTGCACTCTCAGCCTTGATCCAAATAAGTTAGAAACACCACTTTCTCACTCTCCCTTAGCAGGCACACACCATGGTAAGAACCCCAGCCATGGTGAGTTCGGCCCGAGGGGAGAAGGGGGAATGGTTCAAAGGCTGGGGGGGGGGGTGTCAGGGTTCCTTCCCCACTCTGAACTCTGGGGCAAATATGTGGGGACCCGCATGAAATACCGCCTAAGCTTATTCTTACCAGCTTAGGTTAAAACTTCCCCAAGGCACAGATTCCTTTCTTGCCTTGGGATCACTGCCACCACCAAGTGATTTAACAAACAATCAGGGAAAAGACCACTTGGAGTTCCTCTTCCCCCAGCAATGCCCCCAAACCCTTACACCACCTTTCCTGGGGAGGCTTGAGAATAATATCCTAACCAATTGGTTACATAGGGACTACAGACCCAACCCCCTGGGTCTTAGAACAATGGAAAAATCAGTCAGGTTCTTAAAAAGAAGGGATTTATTTAAAGAGAAAAAGGTAAAAGAATCACCTCTGTAAACTTAGGCTGGTAGTTAACCTTACAGAGTAGCAGAAAATTCAAAGAGCACAGAAGAACCCCCTCTAGCCTTAGTTTCAAAGTTACAGCAAAACAGGGATAAACCTCCCTCTAGTAAAGGGAAAATTCACAAGTTGAGAAAACAAAGATAAACTAATACGCCTTGCCTGGCCGTTACTTACAAGTTTGAAATATGAGAGACTTGTTTAGAAAGAGAACATGGATTGATGTCCGGTCCTCTTAGTCCCAAAAGCTAACAGCCACAGAAACAAAGAACCCAAAACAAAACCTCTCCCCACCACCAGATCTGAAAGTATCTTTTGTCCCCTTTGGTTCCTTTGGTCAGGTGTCAACCAGGTTACTTGAGCTTCTTAACCCCTTATAGGTAAGGAGGAATTTAGGCTACCCCTATGGTTATGACAGGGCGTTTCAAAGGGGTATCACTACAAGTGCCTAGGGCCACTATTCTGAATATTGGCACTGTTTTCTACAGGCAGGGGTGATAGCAACTGGTATCTCACTCCTAAGGGTAATCGGGGATGCAAGGGTGCAGCTCCTGCATGTGTGCAGCTGCAGACCAGGTCTGTATGTTGCTTGCCTATGTGCTGCTATGGTGCCTGCAGAAGTAATTGCCAATTGGCCTGACAGAGTTTCCTACTGTGGGGGAAAAAACAAGGGAGCCTTCACAAGAAGCCTTCAACAGAGGATTGCAGAATACCTCCAGGAAATAAATAAAATTTCCTAGAGATCTCTTTGGAGGAGTCTAAGGACATCCCAGTGTGCATAAACAAACTTTTCCGCAGGGCCCTCTCTGCCTAGCTGCAGAGCAGAATGAGAAGCAGCTACAAACAGTACCTGTGTTAGTTATTTCAATCCCTCTTCTACCCTGATTAAGAAAAGTGGAACACTACCTCACATCTCCCTGCAGTACCAAAGCACAATGAGGACTTAGCGGAGCTTCCTTCTTCTGCATCAGGCATGCCAGAGCTGGAGTGCTGGGACTGGCTAGACCTCTCTGGAGTTAAAAAGAGGTCCTGGCTCACGATGCCACCGAACATCCCTATCACCTGTCCCTCATCTTCCTCCAACTCCACTCCCTTGTCCACCACATCATCAGAGTTCACTCTGCTGACCACTGTCTCCAGCTCCTCTGAAGTATTCATGGGGCTCTTGGTGATGGAGGTGGGGTCGCTGCCAAGGATGGCATGCAGCTCCTTATAGAAGTAATATGTCTTTGGCGATGCACTAAACCCATGACTGACCTCCTTTGCCTTCTAGTACACCACCCTCAGCTCTTTGATCTTTGCACAGCACTGCTGCGTGTCCCTATCATACCCCTTCTCTTCCATGCCACAAGCAAGCTGCCCATAGGTATCAAAGTTCCTCTGCTGGGTTGGAGCTCTGACTGCACAGCTTCCTCTCCCCACAGACCCAGCTGATCCAATAACCCCGGTGTA